TAGATGAACCTTGGCACATGACTATAAGAAATACGAAAAAAGACCAATAAGAGCATTTTATAAATCCTTGAGAAGGAATCCATAATGAGCTTTGGAGTTGATCAGAGTCTGTGGTTGGTTGAATCATAGTAATTCGAGGAATTGTGCGAAAACTATAAATTTAACAAATATTTACCATGATTAAAATGTAAAGAATATTGATAAATATACAAATATAAGTGATCTTACACGCCAGCCAAATATGTTGCAATGGATAATTGAACATTTATCCATTGCCAATCTTCGATTGATTGACGAAGGACATAATTTTTTGGTTCCAAATCTGTTATAAAAATTATACTACATAACATTCGGGCTAATTAAATTTAAAAAAAGGTTAAATAAAAGGTTAAATACACGATTAAATAAAAGGTTAGATAATAGTTTAAGATAAAGGTTTATAACAATGATTTTAATAAATTTAAAATTTCAACATACAAATTCCACCAATAAATGTGAATAAAAGAAACCCCTCTAATGGAGATAAAAGGCCTTGAGTAAATAACCGTGCTTTTCGTTTGTTTAATCGATGTGATAATAATATCTTTTAAACAAAAGCAATCTTTTTAACTAAAAATATTTTGACTAATAATAGCATTAAATTGATTTTAAAATGCTCAAAGCAACATACCCCAGATAAAAGTGTCGTTATTATAGATGTTATAAAATTGCTATAATATATTGCAACAAAGAATATTGAATCTTTGCAATTATGTATGAAAATGTACCATCTAAAACAAGTTTAAAGTTCGTTATTCGAGCATTTAGATGATTTAGCCAAGACCTTCAACTTGCGAAAATACTTTACATGCAATATTCTTCACCGTTGATAAGATTTACGGGATCAAATGTGGATTGGGATTCGTTCATTTAGGTGTTAAGATTTGATAAAAAAATATTATATATACGTGTGTAAAAAAAAAAACTTTGTTAATAAGTTTGTTTAAAAAGGAAGGTTGATGCATAAAACATGTTATGCACGATACATTTTTTTTTTATCATCACGATTGGAGAAAAAGGTAAATTAAAAAAAAATTTATCCGAATAAAATTTGAACATGTACATGTCAAAGCGATCCGGCAACTCCTCTTAATGGAAGTTCATAAAGAGCATCCTTTTTATCTTAAAACCTAAAGATAATCTTGATGAATATAAAGTTTGGAATAGAAAATAGATTCCATATTTATTCTGGTTCATTTGAAGATCCTATCGGAATGACATACAAAATTAATGATATTCTATGTACTTACCATAAAGAAAAAATTAGGTTAATCATAATATAGCACAAATTGCCATAATGTTTTAGTTATTTGAAAAATATTTTGTCCACGTCAATTAATGCATTAACTGTACGTACGTGCACACGTAAGTTCATATGTTATAATTAAAAATATATATCAATATTGGTATAATCTTATTTATCGTTCATTAATCTATATCGATATGATAATTATGGAGAATTTAAATTTTACTAAAATGGCAAAACTCTATTAAAAAACTTACTTTCTGTACGTAGTGACACTGTATATAGTGGATAGGTAAAATTATGGCTAGTATATTGATTTGTAATTATTTATTTATTGTTACTGTAAAAAGCGAACAATTAATCGATTGGTTCTTATGTGTTATGTTGTGAGACGTATAATAAACATTCCATGCACACTTTTAGAATGTCCTTTTTCGGAGTACCTTCAGAATGCAAATGGTTGATCCTAAAAAGTATTCCATAACCTGGTAAGAATTTCGTGACACCAAATACTGACAATCCTTCATGAAAAATTGGGCACAAAGTTCATTGAATAATAGTGGATTGAATGATTTACACCATATGATATTATATTTCAAATATAAAAACCTCTCATTTCTTTGTCTTTTTATTAGTTACAGTAATACAAGTGATCAAAGACATTTTTATCCACCATAATCCTTCATAATATTCCAGATAATTTGTACGTACGTACAACTTTATCGTCTAAAGCGTTTTTTTCCTGATCGTCAAAGCAAATCGACATAATTGTTCTACCTGTCAAAATTATCCAATGTTGTTTCGTGATAACCTTTGCGTACTTGCATATATAATATTAAGCATACATAAATTAAGCATACATATACCGTCATGATTTTGACATTTTAAATTTCTTTTTTTTTCATATTGTTAATTCCCTCTTTTTCATATTGTAAATTTCCTTTTTTTTATATTTTAAATTTCCTTTTGTTTTCATATTTTAAATTTCCTTTTGTTTTCATAGTATACATTTTGAATTGCATATTTTCATTAGATACGTACGTACTTACATGCAATGGGATGAACCGCAAAATTTTATGTAAGTACGTACGTACGCCCATTATTTATTGGGGTACATGCAAAGCAAAACTATATATAGTTTACAAGATCAAAAACTTACCTAAAATTTACAGGTTTACTATATATTATACAAATCTGAATACTGCAAAGATCGTATGCAAGATCAGGGTTTGTTACATTTACCTATTTTAAAACCTACAATAGACTTGGGTATAGTGACTGGACTCGTCAACTCGTGACTCGCGTAATTCGAATTTATCATTCTTCGAATCAACTCACGAGTTACTCGCGAGTTAATTATTAATATATAATTAAGTGCTATGTTAAAATAACATAATGATATGTAACTCATTGAAAGTTAAATAAACTATATACTCCATCTATCTGTAACAATTGCGTGACCGCAATTCTTATGAAATTTAAATCACTAATCATTAATAATTAGTAATTTTATGAGGCTTATAATTACGTAATGATATATAAAATAAATCAACTTTTGTAATTGCAAATTTTGGCACAAAACGAAAGTGCAAATGAGCGGGAAGAATCCGGTAACAATGAGCAGGAAGAATCGAGTGATAATGAGCGGGAAGAATCCCTATTACGAAGAAATTAGTCAAAGTACATGTAATTTCAAAGGTCGACCTAAAAGTTTCGTCTGGGACTATTTTGAAAAAGATAAGAACGATATAACTTCGACCTGTAAGATTATATTAATCGATATAAAGAGTGTGGTGTCTCATACTGTACAATGACGACTCAACAACTTCAAACTTAATTAACCATCTTGCCTGTAGGCATAGGATATTTAAAATCTCCTCGCCGTCCCAGCAATGCCATTAAAGGACAATTTATTAGAACTGAAAATGAATCTAAATTGATACAATTAGTGAAATTGATGAGTATTTGTTGTTGGAAGAGGGAGGAAGACGAACAGATCCTTTTCAATGATGGGATCTTAAAAAAAACCGATTTCCGATATTATCAAAAATCACCCGAAAGTATTTATGTGTATTAGCAACGTCAGACTCATCAGAACGGTTATTTTCTGACATTGGAAACAATATTACAGCAAAACGTACAAACTTTGACCCAGAATTGGTGGGAGAGATGCTATTTTTAAAGAGAAACGTGAATTTATTAGATACAATATTTCCAGCTAATGAATAATTTATATGCCATGTATCTGCTTTATAACTTGTAATTTGAGATATTTGCTTTTATTGTTATAATTTGCTTTTTATAACACACGAATCAAATTAAAATATGCTTGCTTTGTAACTCTAAATTTACTATTTACGATAATTAATTTATATGACTAGAATAACTCGAATAAAACTCGAAGAATATTATTATTCGAATGATTCGAGCACATTTTGGAGATTAATTCGTGAGTCATGAATTAATACGAGTCCAGTCACTACTTGGGTATAATACACACTGAGCGCATATATTGTAACAAAATAAAAACTTTAATTAATGTAATAGAGATCCTGTGGATTGTATATGTGTCTACTATCAAAGGGACAATCGTTATAGTGAAATCTTCATTATAACTTATATCGAGAAAATATTATATATATTTCACTAAATTGAGTTGACGTTTAATAATTTTTAAATTAAAATTCTTTACTATAACGAATCTTCACATTTCGAGAGTTCACTATAACAAGAATGAGGGGATTCCTAATTTCTCCCCACAGTTCTACTGTAATTAGACAGTTGTAAATGCTGTCTCTGATTGGACAATATTGGCTACGCCACCTTTCGTCTACCAATCAAATTATAAAATCAGGTGTAACATAAAATTTTCAAGTTTTTCACAACTTAAAATTTTAGTTACAATACCACCTTTTGTGTTCTAATAAAAAACATTTTTTGTAAAATTTTAGTATAGCACGTTCTATTAGACTTTTATACTCTTTCAATAATATGTCGAAAAACAGGATTTGTTTTCGTCCAATAGGAACTATGGGAAAATTAGTAAACCCGAGAATGAGTTGTATAGATAATATTTACAAAATTGATTAATAATTGATTGATTTAAGTTTACCCCATATTTCAACTGATTACTTTTTTTTATAATAGAGATATTATCAGTTTGCCACATAGCGAAAATTTAATCTAACGCTAACCCATTACAATATAATTAATTTATTATTAATGATCTAATGATGTTACACGTGATCTTGACATTTGATTGGAACTATTTGATTGGTCGGTCATTAAGATGCGATGTGTAAGCAAAATATTAAAATCTTTATACTTAAAATTGTTAAATTATTTTTTAAATACTTAACTTTTATATAAATGTTTAAAATTAAACAAGAGTAAATATTTTACCAACTTTAATTAAAAGTAATTTTAATGATACCAATATATAGTATAATATTATAGTGATAAACAAGTTTTATGTAGCATTTTAGGCACAAGATTACAAATTGCAATATAAATGTGAACAAAATATCTAGCATAAACTATTAGCAAATTTATTTGACATCAAATAAAAACCAATTATAAATTGCAATTTATATAAACCATATATAAACCAAATATCTAGCATGAAATCATCAATAACTATAAAGGTATTGAATATATGTATATTAGCTAATCTGAATTCTTGAAGATCAGTCAATAAAAATAAACTTTACGAGCCCTAAGCTTTTTCAACTTCAACTATATTCCAAAATTCGGTATAAGCCTCGAAATCCTTATGGCACAATTCTTGATGAATCTAAAACCACGATATTTTTAATGCAATATTTTATTCTACATACATTTATGCACTTAAGATTCTTTCGAGTAATCTTCTTTTCAATTTTATTGTGGCTATACTTAAAATAAACACTTTGAACTGCGATGACCGATAGACAATATATGTTAAAATAAGTGGTAGATTAAAATTCTTTAAAAAAAAATAGCATATTATGTTACAAAAATATACCATGTTCGAATTGCTTTTTAATCTTTTCATTTCCATCCGTAATCAAGCAAACGACACGATTCCTGCAAATAATATATAAGTTACAAGTTATAAATTACTCAATATATGTGTTGATTAAAATCCTATATTCTAACCAATCTGATCTCTCAACTGAATCTGTAAATTCATAAGTTTTTCCGTTTCGGAAAATTTCGATAGTGTGTTCTTTTTTTTGTTTTTTACGTAGACTAGCTTCTTCAAATCTAAAATAGTCACTATGAATTAGCACCATATTTAATGTAAATTATCCAATCTTGGTTCTTATTTAGTATGCTTATTCATACCTGGCGTCTTGTAATAATTGTTTGATGTTGTACATGTTAATAATTGAGGAAGGTGAGGAAGATACTAAAATAATTTGATTTTGAGATGTCTCCGAACCTTTAGTGCATTGTTTAATTATAAAAATTAATAAATTTGACGATCGGTTATAAAAAAAATGATAAAATCAACAAATTTAGGATAAATTTATTGATTTATATTATATCTTGTATTACAACAAGCTTACTTGAAAAGAGATCATCTGCTAATTTAATAAGATACGAAAAATCCTTGAAATTACAAAAATGCATATTAGAAATTATTGAAATTTTTAGAATCATCAATGAAATAATTTTAACTTTTACCGCATCTTCATCATTACTTTCCAATGATTTTTCCCAGGAACAAAGGTTAGAAGCAGCTAGATGTTTTTTCATGTGCTTTTCCATCCAAATTTTGTCTTGATCAAATCGTTCTTTTTTTTGTCTTTTTATTTCTGCTGCATTTTGATAATCCTTATGTCTTTTAATTTCTGCAGCATTTTGGTGGTCCTCATCTACCGAATCATCGCAACTGCGCTTTTCTATATCAGAGAAGGAATAAGCTGAATGATTAAAATTTATTAACATTTTCTCAATATGCCTAATTACTTGACGTTTGTCCAAGTAAGTTCCTATCGGAATCATTATCCAAAGGTGAAGAGTCACTGACAGAGCTTAACAATTGTTTCCTTTCAGTGTAATTTAAACTGGTGGTTGTCGCATCTTCACGGTATTTAGTAAAACCTAGTTCACTTTTTGGAACGGTCTCTTTGGAGTCAGTCATTATTAAATTTATGTGAAAAATGTCGAAAAAATGTGAAAAATGTGAATGCCTCTAGCTTTCCCACAGAAAATAAATATTGGCACGTCGCGTCGATCATTGCTAGAAATAGCCAATAAAATCCCAAGATCGTGTGTAACATCAAATTCATATGGGAGTAATAGTAAGGAAGGATTGGAGACTAAAAATCGACTAATAGACTAGTCGGCAAGTTGGTTAACCAATCAAAATTGCATTTTGATTTTTAATTAATTATAATAACTAGTCAATTATTCGATTATCCTATTAGTCGATTAGTTGACTAATAGTTGACTAGTCGACTAATGACTTTATGATTTCTATTCTTATATGGGAGGGTTTGACTCCATTCAGTACTCACAATATTCGATTTGTCACATATGAAGCTAAAAAAAAATTTAATTGTGATATATAATTTGATAGTAATTCTGTCGTGCCTGAAGTTGGCACCCGACTAAAGTTGTGCCTGAAGTTGAAATTAGCCCCTGAAATTAGGTCATCCTGCACGCACTAGCTAGCGGTTTTAGGCAGGTGCCAACTCAGGCAGATGCCAACTTCAGGCATGATAATTCTATTCTGATTTTCTATCACTTTTAACAAGACGTATAGTCGATATTATTAAATTAAACTATGTCACTTGTACAGTACGTATTTGAGCAATACTTGAATGTGCGCCAGGTTTATGGCGCAGCACAAATTCTTTAAAGTTTGTTCATGGTAGAGCTATGGTTAGTGTTATGGGCTAGAGAAGGGTGTGTATAGTAAAATTGCTCAACGAAAACTTTTTGCTAGAGCATCAAAAGTGATTTCTTATGTAAAATTTCGAGAAGTAAGCGAAACGAATATTTGGTTTGATTTTTTTAATCGTGTTACGTTGCGCCTGATCTTGAAATCTGATTCGTAGATCAGTAAATCTGCGCCACAAACCTGGCACACATTCAAGGGGTGCCGTATGCGATCTAAATTAACACTTACAATATATCATTATTATTAAATTAATTCGTTTGATATTAAGCAATATTATAAAATTCTCAAAAGCTTACTTAAAACATATTGGTGTCTTTTTTAGTCGATTGACTTGATGTTTCTGTATTTCCTTAAGAGTAGGGGTATGTCTGCATAATCAGGAAGTATATTTTTTTATAAGATCTAGATGTATATAGTTACGTTTTTGATGTGATGCTATGAATTAATTAATCAAGTATTTCAAAAACACAGTGTTTGCATTACTTTACTGATTATTTAATCGGTTTTACTAAATCACACCAGTGGTGTTCAACTCCACAGTTGCTATATCTCAAAAATGTACTAGTTAACACACGTCAGGGTACTAAGCAAAAATGTTCAGCACTCCGAAAAACCTCATTAACTAAAATTTAGACTTATATAATTACTATAATTTAGGTTTCCTAACCCTAAATTTTACTAGCAAAACTATTAAAAAAATATGTGGTGTTGAACACCAGGTTTGTCGATCATTATGGCGCAAACAAACGTTCGTTTTGCTTATTTCTCAAAAATCTGCATAAAAAGTACCACCTTTATCGCTCTAACAAAAAGTTTTCTTTGAGCGATTTTCTATATAATTACCTACCCTAACTACAATGAACTTTAGAAATTATAAAACTGCGCCACAAACCTGGCACAGAATTCATACGTGCGTTGAACACCACCGGTGTGATCTAGTAAAATTGTGTTTCAATTTAAAATTAATATAGATTTTGTTTAAATCTATATAAATTTATATAAGATAACTGTTATCAAGTAAAAATGCTCAATATAAAAAAACATTTATTTACACTAATATTTATTTCAAAAAAAACCAATTTAAATTCAAAAAATTTGAATAAAATTTTTTTTGCAATTTTATATAATTTTAGATATAAAGTATACATTGGGTTTTGTAAATCTTATATAATTTAAATATACTTTAAATAAGTTTTATATACATAACTTTAGATAAAAATGACTTTGTGATGGCATTTGCGAAATCTGTGCTTAGTTATGCATGATCATGCATGATCTACCAATCAGATTTGAGAATCAGGTGTAACGTAAACAAACGTTCGTTTTTCCAAAAATCGCTTCTTTCTCAAAAATCTGCATAATAAACCACCTTTAGTGCACTAACAAAATGTTTTCCTTGTGCGATTTTACTATATAACCACCAAGTTTTTAACTTTATACGAAACGCTAACCCTAACATTATGAACTTTAAAGAATTTTACATAATGATCGGCAACATGCATAACCTGCCCCAGATTTCGTAAATGCATAACTTTAGGCGCGTGCTGACCGATATTACCGAATCGTTTTTCGAATTTCCTTATTTGGACACTGAAGCAATTACTAATTTATGTAGATCACTCAAATAAGGAACAATTACATAGTCATTTCAGGTCACACATCACGTACTGGACTTCACTTCGATCATAAATATGTTAGAGATTTAACGATTACTAACGAAGTAAGGGCAAGTTATTCTTTTCACAGAAAGAAGTTCGTCTGATTGATTTGAAAAAGTGAGACCTCAAAAATTTAAGTTTATAACTTATCAGATTTAGTTCCTGAAGGAATCGTATTTAATTACAGAATTAAATATATATCGTTTATCAACTTTTTTTGGGGCTAAATCCAATAAGTTATAAAATTATATTTCTTAAGTTTCATTTTCTCTTGGCAGCACTTATATGTTCGGTTCTTGTATCGTGTGTTGATCTATAAACCATAATAAGTTTTAGTATATAAATCATGACTTGTATTAGTGAGTTTGGATTTTCATTAGCAATAAACAGAAGTTTTTGTGCTTGAGCTGAGGGAAGCGAATTGAAAGTCTTAATCTATGAAATTTTCGAAGCTAGAAAAAAATTGAAATCGTTTAATGACTAAAGAGCAATGAGCGAGAAATGAGTACGGTTGTTGATATCATTTACTACTGTATTACTTATAGTAATTTTGATTAAAATGAGTAATTTGGTTCTAAAGTGTAAGACCTAATAATTGAGACATTTTTTCTAGTATATATTAAAAATGTGCGAAAACATTATATACGAAAAAATACTATGGACAGGGATTATTTCGATTATTTGACATATTTCATGAATTTTTTGACGTTCCTGATATATGCATTCTGATTAGTCCATTTATGGTTCTACAAAACACGTGAATTTTTAAAAAAATTTTTGACGGTCCCTGATCACGGATCACATATGAAAAATGATCGATATACCCCCTACCCTTAATTAGAGCGGTCCCTCCTGAATTCAAACCAAAATAAGAAACATAGATACTCAGGTACTTCACCTGCCTCAACAGGTACCACCAGTGTACAGGCAGTCTCGAAACCAGAGCTTCTGTATGACAGAAGAATACTAAGGACGGACCATTCATCCATACCTGACGCATCTGACATTTCGGAAAATTGTCATTCATATTGAAAAAAAAATTTCTTTATCCCGTAAGATATAATATATTCGCATGTATTACATCAACTATTAATAAGGTTACCCCGTTAATATCAACCTCGTTAATATCAACCTAAGCCACAAAACAATTTTTATAAATTTTTATATACCGATACTGTATCAAAATTTCCTCATATATATCAACTTTAATATGAAACCAATTCAAATAGGTTGATATTAACGAGGGTAACCTGTAATTGCTTATACGTATATATATATATATATATATATTTATTATTTATTTATTTA